CTTTTCCAAAGATAGATAAATAAGACAGCAGATATACTAAGGAATAACCTCACCAACTTGTCATCGACTGACATGATGTCTTTTGGGCCCACTTAGCCAGCCAGTCTGGTTTGGTTTTCTGGAACTGAAAGAAATAATTAGAGTGTAATGACAGAGAGTATGAGAGTCAGAAAGACGAAAGTAGATGAGATAAGTCTCTTGAGCAAGACTTCTAGGAATGGGAAATTTGTGGTGATTGATATGAAATGATTTTTCCCTTATCAGGTTCCAGATGATCGTGTTTATGAAGAATTAAACATATATTCAGCTATTTACAGTGAGTTAGAAGATCGAGGGGAAATGTCTCCTCCCACTGATTTATAAGAATCACATGTCCAGAACACTCTGATTCACAGCCAAGAATCCAGAAGGCCAAGGTCTTGTTAAGGGGCTACTGGAAAAATTTCTATTCTCTCCACAGCCTGCCAATTTTACATTAGATTTATTCGCCAGATGAGAATATTTTGTTTTTGTTGCTTCTGTTCCCCTTAATATTCTCCTTCCATTTGTAGATATGATAGACTCCTATTTTTCTTGTTTTATATTATGACTTCACACACCTCTCTGCTGGAAAGCCAACATGTAATAAGCAAGATTTAACTGTTTGATTATAACTGTGCAAATACAGAACACAAGAAGGCTGGCTGAAAGTTGAGTTAAACTTTGACAGTTTCATAATATTTGGTTCTTAGGGTTTTTTTATTTTATTTTATTTTTTTTTAGCATTCCTAATAGTTACAGTTGGGCATGGTTTGTACCACCCACCCATACCCATATAGTCACACACACATATATATAACTTACACTATATATAACTTTCTATGCAAATATTTTACCACCAGTCAATAATACATTCTTGCAATGTATTGCATGAAGTTTTATAAAAATCTGTATAATTGCCTAAATCACCAGCACATTCACTGACATGGTATTATTAGATAATGTTTGCAGATTGATAAGTAGGAAGTGGGGAATTTTATTAAGTTACCCATTGTCTGGGGAGGTAGATAGGTAAAAACAGGGAAATTTTAAGTGGGGAGATCATTTAGTGAGACATTTGTGAAAAAAAGAATAAATTAAGAGCTGAGCTGAAATAAAGTGAGTGGAAATGGAAATAATGGTTATATCTAAAACGTGTAGAAAAAGAGGAACTGGTAGACTTTGTTAACAAATTAAAGAATAAAGTTAGACAAGCAACTGGTTGACTAATACATTAAGTGTTTGAGTCTAAGATGAAAGGAGAACACTGGTTATGTCGAAAAAAATGATAAAAAGGACCAGGCACGGATGCTCACGCCTGTAATTCCAGCACTTCAGGAGGCCGAGGCAGGCAGATCACAAAGTCAGGAGTTTGAGACCAGCCTGGCCAACATAGTGAAACCCCATCTCTACTAAAAATACAAAAAAAAAAATATTAGCTGGGTGGGGTGGCGGGCATCTGTAGTCCCAGCCACTTGGGAGGCTGAGGCAGGAGAATTGCTTGAACCCAGGAGACAGAGGCTGCAGTGAGCCTAAATTGTGCCAGTGCACTCCAGCCTGGGTGACAATGGGAGACTCCATCTCAAAAAAAGAAAAAGATAAAGATAAAGATAAAAAGTCAGAAATATGAAAAGTGGAGGAAGAGTACAACTAGACCTAAATTAAGCTCATTTTTAGACTTTCATTTTGGGGAGACAAAGGGAAATGCAGCCATAGAGGGCCTGATGACATTCAATACAGAGTTCTGGTAAAGATAAAATTTGACAGAGATTTAGTGTCCTTATAGGAGAAATCATTATTAAATGAAGCAAGTTAACACTGTAAGAGAATTATTTTAAGATAGAGGTAAAGCTAAGTTAAACTTCACATGCCTATAAATGGAGGGAAAAACTAAGGATAAAAATCTACAATAGAAGATACAATAGGCCGGGCGTGGTGGCTCACGCCTGTAATCCCAGTGCTTTGGGAGGCGGAGGTGGGTGGATCACGAGGTCAGGAGATTGAGACCATCCTGGCTAACACAGTGAGACCCTGTCTCTACTAAAAATACAAAAAAGTTAGCCGTGTGTGGTGGCGGGCACCTGTAGTCTCAGCTACTCGGGAGGCTGAGGCAGGAGAATGGCGTGAACCCGGGAGGCGGAGCTTGCAGTGAGCCGAGATCGCGCCACCGCACTCTAGCCTGGGCGACAGAGCCAGACTCCGTCTCAAAAAAAAAAAGAAGATACAATAATTAGTCATAAACATGCATTGTGAAACCGTAGAGAACAGGTAGCCCAAAATAGAGAAAGATTAGATAAAGAGAAAACAAGTAAACGTCAGAGACAGTATCTGTAGGCCTGGGCAGGAGAAAAGTCCGCAGTGATAAGCAATCCACTTAAGGCATGAATATGGGGCAGAGAAAATAGCAATAGTGAATGAATGTAGAAGGTGCTGAGAAATTCCACACACGAGTATCGTGATGAGTAAATGAATAAAACATTTGCAAAGACCTTTAGAAACAGAGAGTGGGGGCATATGTGAGAAATAAGATAGTTGATTATGAATAGAAGGTAGTGAAGAAAAGCAAGCGAAGAAAAAATTCTATTTATAAAAGAAGGAAAAGATCGTTTGTGTTTTTAGCCTAAGAGTCCTGTAGAATGACTGAAAAAAATCAATCTGAGAGTATTAGTCACAATTAATGAAATAATTAATTACATTTTATGTATTGAGGATGCCAAGATTAAAAGGTGACAGACAGGTAGATGTTAATTTCACTAAATTATGTAAGTGAGCACGACAATCACACAACAGATAATTAAGTGACTTGGTATGCTTTATTTAATTGTAGGGCCTGAGGTTTTCCATTCTCATTTTTCTAAAATAAAATTTTGTTTCTCCAACTTTGACAGCAGAATAAAAAACCCTACCCTTTCACTGTGTATCATGCTGAGCTGCATCTCTGCTCTTGATCATCTGTGGGTATTAATTACATCCCTTCCATGGCATGGACGTTCACATACAGACACTTAATCCTGGTTTACCAGAACCTCTAGGAGTGGATCCAATCTATCTTTACAGTTGTATAATATTTCTCTTTCATTTCACCCAATTTATATTTTCATCATTGACTACATATTTCTTATATGCAACACACAATTTATGAATTTTTTCTCAAGATCTTTCTGAGAGTTTTCCCACCCTGCTTGCCTTTTATAGTATGCCCACCTCAGGCAGACACAGAGCACAATGCTGGGGTTCTCTTCACACTATCACTGCCCCAAATTGTCTTTCTAAATTTCAACTTCAAGGTCATCTTCTCCATGAAGACCACTGAACGCACACCTTTTCATCCAGCCTTAATTTCTCCCTCCATAACTACTCTATCCCACGATGCAGTATTGTATCATTAATTATTAGTGTGCTTGTGATCTCCTTATGTATTCTCAATTGCCTGTATTTGTGCAATAAATTGGAATAATGTAACTTGATTTCTTATCTGTTTGTGTTGGCATACAAGATTGAGGGACTTATCAAAGATAATGGGGAACTAAGGCATCAATAAAATGATGCCAAAGACTGAGAGTGGTTTCTGAAGTCCTCCTTTTCATCAGCCCTTTATCAAACAGAACAGTCTATAAACAACCCATAGCCAGAAAACAGAATGTAGGAACAATCACCAACCATCTTTTGTCAATAATTGATGGAATAGAGTTGAAAGGAAACTGGAGCATGAGTCACATTTGACCAGTCAGTCCTCACTTTTACTTACTTGCTATGTAAACCTGAGAAAGTTTTTTCTCCTTGTGAACCTCAGGTTCTACATCTGAAAATGAGAAATTTGGAACAAAAGATCTCCAACTGGTCTTTATGTTCCTATATTCTGTAATTTTTAAATATTTAGAATTTTTGGTAATCACAATTACCAAGTTTGTGGCTGAGATAGCAATAGCAATCAGAACTATTTGGTGGACATATTTTCAAAGGAGCAGCTCTCCACTTGGGGTAAAGAAGTATGTGGTGTAGCAAGACACCTGGAACAATAATATTTCTCTAAATCCCTCTGACAAATGCTAATCAAAGTGTGTTTTTTTCCTAAAAATTTTTCTTAGAAATAAAATTTCCCATATTATTCCCATTATAGGTAAATAATAGGTAATAATTCTTGCTATAGACATGGATCTACTTATATAAACAACTAATGAAACAGGGTACCATATTTTTAATTGTAACTTGATTTAGAGTGTTAGGGTAAATATATATATTCAAGAGGTGTGAGGGTCCCTTGTCAGTATCTCTCTGTGTTACATGAGTATTTCCCTCCACTGGAAAACCTCTGTTCACTCTACAAATAGTTAAGTGAGCTGAACTTATGTCTCCAAATAGCTTCTATCTGGGAGTTCCAGCATTGTATTTTACCTTAGTTTTTTTTTGTTTGTTTTTTAAATGAATATATTAAACATAACTACTTTAAATACATTGTGAATGTTCAAAAATCATTTAGCCCAGTTTCTAGAATGATGAATGGAACCTATTTTTTTATTTATAGACATTGATGTGTAATCCTGAACTTGAAATTAGGAAAAGAGACACTGTCAGCTTCTCAGGAACGTTTGGCAATATTCACCTATCCCTTAACTCTGGTTGGAAAAAGTGGGCTTAAGACCCTGGGTAAGATCAGGGAATGTAATTATTAGTAACCTTCACATAGACTACTTCCAGATAAATTGAACTGTAAAATCATATGTTACAAAATGATATTATCTTGTCCTAAAAAGGCAAAGAAGCAGATGGAAAGAGGCTCTAGGGAAAATGGTATCAGATGAGTTTTGGGAAACCTTTAAAAACATATCAACTTTCTTCATCAGTGAGAAATATCTTAACCCACCATGTCTGCCTATCGGGAAGGAACTGGTTGAAAAACAGAACAAGAGGCTCAATCTGTAAAAAACAGAAGGAAAAGAGAGAGCCACGATCAATTTTTGGCTCTCACAGTAAACAGTGCATAAAAGGTGCCCAGAGAAAACAGCTCATCTCCTCTCATTATTTGGTGGCCCTGTATAACATTTTTGGATTGGAATCTGTTTTGTGCTGCTGTAAGGCCTTGTCCTGGGGATAGATTTAGGCAGGGCAGAAGAAAGGCTGGTGAGTAGTCTATATGAGACTGTTAAGAGTGGTTTCCTACATGGTATGCTATTGTTCAAT